AAGTTGTCAAAATTTTGAGTTGGCATTGAAAGGGCATTTTATCCTTTTACGTTATCGCTCCATACAAAAGCTTATATCTTTTCATAAAGATTTTGGACAGTCTTTTTAGCTTACAAAAAAAACAAAACAAGAAAAAACAACAGATATAAGCTGCTACATTAGTGAAAGTTAATAGATAAATGAGCCATTTAAAATTTTTTAGATGGGATTATCTAAAATAAGAGATTGTAAGTTTTATGAGTGGGAAAATTACAGTGTCTCAAAATCGTCAAATGTCCTTCCAATGATAAATTCTTAAAACAATTTGGAAGAGATCTTTCCCCTTCACAAAAATATCGAGATAATAAATAATTTTTAAGTTATAATCGATTAAAACAAGAACCTTTCAGAAACTGAATTTTGGGAAATTGATTGGATGACAAAACTATATTCCTCAATTAATATTCAAATAAAATTTTCTTCAGAATTTTAATATTTTTTTGATTATGCACTAATGAATATATGACGCAAAAAATTGAAAAGTAAAAAATAATCTTCCTCGATACTTTACGTAAAAAAAAAAAATGATTCCAAATTGGCTAAAAAAATACATCCTGAAAATGATAGTAGTTTTGGATTCTATATATGTATATGCTTGCCATGTTATTCGCGACACACATTCATACACGCACACACACAATCTTTTTTTACCATAAATACTAATCTATAATATCGTCTTATTGTCTTATACGGTTCTTTGTGGAGATAGTAAAAAATCGTATAACAATTAGGCGATTAATCTATATAATAAAAGAGATTATGGGAATGTGTTCAGCCAACGTGGCATGGCAAGTTTCATAATTCTTCAAGGACGTTTTGGAAGTATCGTCTGGAGTCGAACTGTTAATCCCTAATCGGTCGTGTGGAATAGTCGGAATATTATAGCGACCCCCTACCCATTCCAAATACAGTACGTGAAGAATGCATGCTTAATAAAAGGAGCGTATAAAATTATATGTAATATATCTCTTTTTACTTAGTCATCAATCTATCAAAGTCCAATTTAATTACTAATTACTTTAAATTAAATCAAGGAGAGACCGTACAAAATTACCAATACTATCAATCTTCAATATAGCCATCTAATATAGCAAAAAAAACATAATAAAGTCATAATGAATTTCATTTACGACAATATTAATTATGCTAAATTAAAAAGATATAACAGTATTAATCTATACACACATGATAAAAATGCGTGTAGATAATGAAAAGCAATCTTATCAGTCAACATGATATTACAAATCGAATATCGCGATACTCTACGATGGAGATGGCCCGGTGCCCTCGTGCGTGCTAACCCAATGGATCTGTCATGGCACTCGCGCGGCAATTACACTTCGTCCCCTTTCGCTAAAGCTGCTTCCATTTTCTCGACGTTAATTCGAGGACCGATCGGACGGACATCGGATATATTATAATCTACAGCGAATCTTTCAATGGGGAACCCTCCTACTCCTGCCCCCTCTCCGTCGTATATCACCGAACGGTACGCGGCGGTATATTATCGGTCGGGGGATATTGTGGGGGGGAAAAAGAGGTCAGAGGGGGAGAGAGAGGGAAGAGGCGGCGAGTGTGGGAAGGAGGAGATGGTAGTAAAACGAGCCAACGCGGTAGAGAGAGGGAAGCGCGATGGACACATGGAGAGAGAAGAAGAAAGAACGGCCCGGTGGGAAAGGAAGAGAAGGGAAGCAAACATCGAGGGAGATCGGGAAGAGTACGCGGAGTGGGAAGGGAACCAATCGTCGCGACGACTTAAGCGCTGTGCGCGCGCGCGACGTTTATTCTATGATGGATGTATGTGTGCGTATGGCGCACGCGTGTGTGTGTCGCGTGTACATGGTACTGGTTGAATAAGGTGTACATATACATATATACACCTCACGCATATAGCTTCCTAGCGAAGATCACACATGCGCGCCCAATTCACGGCATCGACCGCGTATCGTTGTGTGCGTTTATGGCTATATCGAGAGCCGACGAGGAAGGCATGCGACGCTACGAGCGAGCGAGCGAGTGAACGAACGAACAAACGAACGAACGAGACAAAGATAGTCTCCCAGAGGCAGCGCGGCGCATGCGCCCCGCAATGGAAAGACGCCACACGCGGCGACCGCACCGGCCAGACCAATTCCTCCGGGTGGTAGCCCGAATCATTAACTTGTTTCCGTGGCAACCCGCTGCGACCCACACCATTGGCTGGCCGCTTCTCCCATCCGCGCATCCCCACGCTCTGTTCTCTGTCGGTCGGACGGCAACTACGACGCGAGAATACGATCCATCGTTCGTAACACACTATAAACGCGGACTATAGCGTGAATCCCCTTCTCTCCTCTCTTCCCTTCCCTACCCTTTCGCCCATCCGTCGACTCCGACCCTCGTTGACCGTACACACGCATACGCACATATATACATACACATGCACGCTCGCGCGTTTATATAGGGCTGTTTACTGGGATTGGTACAACCGCGCGCGACTCTTCCTACCCTACGCGCGATACGTCCTACCGTCGCGTCTCGCGTCGAAATCCGAGACCGGTATTGGGAGATGAACGATAAATCGGTTGCACGGTTCACGTCGGTGTGCTTCTTTTCTCCCTCTTTCTCTCTTTTCTTTCGGCTCTTGCAACCCGCCGGAGAATTCCATCAAGGCGGAATCACCGCTGCACGGGGGTATGGGGCACCGAGAGGGATTTCTAATCGACGGTTTTCTTGATTAATCGAGCGTGCGAGTAGATATCTCGAGAAAAAGATAAAATGTTTGTTCCTGCGTATAAAATAGTTCGCGATACTTTCTAACGCGTTATTTCGTCGTAACATCAAAATATAGAGTTAGTGGAGGGGGAAGATCCTTTTTAAGGGCCGGTGTTTCGATCGAAATAACGAGAGATTCGCGTCCTTGATCCACACGAGAGCCTCACGCCTCGGGCGAAACGGGATGCATTATGCATGGGAGGCTCGACATCAAAATTAGAGCTTTCCTCGATGCCCCGATAGAAGCATCACGACGCGTTCCGCGTCAAGGACGCGAAATGCTTATATTTTTTTAAAGAATCGCTCGAGTATCTCGTCACGTTTAAAAAAAAAGCAACGACAAATACATTCCTACACACCTATCGCGGCGGAAAATGTCTGCGAGAGTCGCGATGAACCAATCGCATGTGGCTCGTGAGTCCTCGAGTTTCGAGCCGGGAAGCATAAACTCCTCGGCGGCTTAGAGAAATCGCGTCAGGAATGTGCCACTTCTCCGCGGAGCCCCGCGCTAAACTTGTCAGATGCTATTATTACATCGGTGCATTTTACCATAAATGTTATCAACTACTAACGTACTATACATATTCATTTATTACGACTGTATTGACAAAAAATAATGTCATAATGCTTGTATATTTCACGACTTGGATTAGAGATACAAAAAAAAATAGTTTAAGATTTACTAGATATCGAGTTAAATATTGTAAATTATATAAAAAAAGACAGACAGAGAGAGAGAGAGAGATAGATAGAGACAGAGAGAGAGAGAGAGAGAGAGAAAGCTGTGACGTAAATACAATATAAAAATCACATATACATTTCTTTATCGATCCAATATATCATCATACAGATTAATTGATTCAATACATTTTGTGAATTTATTATAACAATCCTAATAATAACGTTTCATGTGTGTGAAAGAAAGAGAACAAATATTGTGCCTGGATGAGGATACTTTCTTATACACAAAGTTTTCAGATTTTTACATTTATTTCGTTACTGAAAGTGGCCATTGTTGCAAGAAACACCACTCATGGCACCGGAAGAAAAACGTCTAGCAACCTTTTTCAAACAGTGGACATTTTCCCAGTTTCCTCCGCCTTAAACCCAGGAGGTCCAACGATAATGGAGGACAAAACTTTGTACTCAAAATCCCTTCAGATAGATATTTTATAATTTAAAAAATACGATTTTACTTTTTTTTATCATGTTTTTAACTTATCAACGTTGTATTATATTTAATTTTTTTCGATAGTAACAAATAATTCGAATTCTAATAGGTTAAATCCTTTGATGAGATCTTTTTCATAATACTGCAATTGATGATAATGCTTGTGATAATACTCGTTTTAATATAGCTGGATATTTTAACTACGACTGTGACAATCGTTTCTATTTATGCAGTAAGTAATATTGACATTCTGGATTAGTAATAATGTCATGTCATGATTATATGGCTTGTCGAAAATATCGAAATGATACGTGCAATAAAGATGCATATTTGCATGAGACAAATAATATATCTAGGCATTTTTTGATCATGCAATCATTGCTATATAAAGTTTTCGGTATTGATTAGCGCTATAAATAATTGATCACACAAATATATTAACAGTGATATAACAGGAATTTTTTGTTATTCATATTTCTTGTTGCAATAATAGATTACTATTAATAGATTCACGTTACAATAATAATCTCTTTTAAGGAATTTGTTCTCTCTTTCGTATTCTTAATAAAACATCATCTCCTTCAATAAAAAAAAAGTTAATTTTTTGTATTAATCACATCTTTATAGAATCTTAAATCTTGTATAACGCATGATATATGTAAAAATAACGTATTGCATATGTTGGATTACCAAATAGAGATTATCAAATTATATAATTATATGAATTATAGATAGACAAAATATTTCACACAAATATAGTTTTCACCTACATACGTTTACTTCCTAAAAACAATATGTTAATCAAAAGACAATATCAACAGTATTAATACCCAACAATATAATCAAACAGCATAACACGCAAACATAATTATTTTTTATTGTTAATAAATTGCATTAAATATTGTAACTAATCATCGATTAGATATAAATGTAACAGAAAAAAGGAAAAAGTAATACCAACAAAACGATTTCTAAAAAAAAAAACAAGAACTAAAAGTTCCTAAGAATTTTATATCTTCGTAAAATAAAAGATAAAGCAGGGCTCCCGGAAAAGTTTGTACATTTCTGCTCGCGTTATGCTGTGAAATATGGTCGGACTATAGAGCCGTATACGTATAGAAAGGAGAAGTACATATGTGTGCGTGGAACGACTGGGCGCGATAGGTGGTGGCGAATGAGAAAGAGAGAGAGAGAGAACATTAGAGTAGAGAATACCGTTAGCGAGCATGCGCCTATAGCCACTATATCTGATGGCTCCGCCTTTCTCGGCGCAGACGATGCCTTTGGGATTTGTCCCTCGTCGAACCAATCAGAGAACGCGATCGGGGGATGACGCGCGGCGAGGGGGTGAACGATGGATGGGGATAGCTTCTTCGGGGACGCGCGGGTATAACGGGAGGAGGTAGTTGTGTTATACCGTGTAGTAGAGCAGGGAGGTAGCCAGCCAGCAGCAGCAGCAACGGATAACGAGAACTCTGCGAACGCTTACGAGATCCCGTGACTGCGACGAGTTTTTTTTTTTCCGTGTGGCATCGCGCGGTGGAAAATGGTGAAACTGTGAAAAGTGAAAACGCGAGCGAACAACAACGCCGTTGGCATCGTGCGCTGCGACGACGAAGCAAAGTGCGGTGTCGGGTACACAGACGCACAAACATCGACACACATTCGCACACACGCGCAAGCCTATTCGAAACGTGCTTTATAGGTGTGACTGCGCAGTCGCCATGTGAGTACCTGAATAAAGCAAGATGTCCGTGGCCGAGGCTTCCGTCGACTCGTGGCGGCGTCGTCGTCGTCGTCGTCGAATGTACACAGTTCCCTTCTTATGCTTTCGTACATGCTACGCGTGAAAAATATTCACTAGATGAATAGCTTATACATGTCCGATCGGTATGCCCGTCGCACGCAACGCGTTTTGCTCTATACACATCTTGCATGCTCTATCTCTGTTTCCCTCCCCATCGCTGCGTCTGTTCCTTTCTCTGTCCGTCTCGCTTTACCAGTCCCGTCGTTTCTCCGAACGGTGCTTAATTTTGTAATTCAATATGTCGGCGTAACACCGCCGCTCCGGATTCGCACGAGGGACGGACTGCGGCGACCGGATACGTGTGTGTTACGTGCGTGCATGTGTGCTGTTTTATCGCGTTCAGTTGCGAGCGTTTCGTCATCTTTCTCCTTTCGAGGAAGAAACGTGTCCTCTTTCTTCACGTACGCTGAATCGCGCGCGCTTCTTGAATATATCGTGTTATTATTGTTATTATATATCATTCGCCCGTTATATTATATATTGTCATTATGGAGTAAGAAAGAGAAAGAAAGAGAGAGAGAAATCTATGTTGTCAGCCGTCCCCCTGGCACAGTTGTTCTCTCTCCCTTCTCGGCAT